TGTGTGTGTGTGTGTGTGTGTGTGTGTGTGGGGGTGTGTGTAGGGGGGGCATTCCAGCCAAAGCAGAGAGTGGTCTATATTTGTCATTATATTACAACCTTGGTAGATAATCATCCAAGCCCCCCCCACCCCCCAGATGAGATTCTTCTCGTCTGACATGCCAAAGCTTCCCTTTTCTGTCTGTTTGCTAGTTATATCATTCAGCTTTGAATACAGGGTGTGCGTGTGTGTGTCTATATGTGTGTGTGTGTGTGTGGGGGGGATTTATTTAAAGCAACCTAAATAGGGCGAGAGCTTTGCATAAGCTTCTTAAAGTCATTTTTTATGAAATGGAAATTTTTAGTAGGTGGCTATTTCTGAGCCTCAGTGGGTCGGGACCGTCTTACCAGAAGGATGAGAATAGAGTGTGAGGTGTGTGGTGAGGGGGTGGAGATCATGGGATTGGGGGGGCATCTGTCACTAAGCACCAGAGGCCAGATGCTACCTTCCTTCTCCTGGCCCAAACATGGCAAGAGTCCATTTTAATTTGAATTTAATCACCCCCCCCCCCCGTACGAACCTGCCAGTTAAATGGAACTCCCCCCCCCAGCCTGTTGCTGTGCTCCTTCCCTGCGTTATGTCCTCACATCCCTATGGGGCTTTCCCACGCTCTGGCCAGCCAGATGTGGCAGCCACATCTGGTGCGGACGTCACAGCGTGTGGCACGTACCACAGTCACCCCATGTTGGCGGTGGGGCTCTTACTCCTCAGGCATCTCCCGGGGCAACAGGTTGGGGGTTTTTTCAGACACAGATCCTTTTGTTTATACTCAACCTCATGCACAGTACCTTAGTGAGACCAGGTGTTGGCACCCCAGTGTTGGTGAACATTCCATGAGAGCTTCCGTGTTTGTTTTGCAGGTCTTAAATGAAGAATGCGACCAGAACTGGTACAAGGCGGAGCTCAATGGAAAAGACGGCTTCATCCCCAAGAACTACATCGAAATGATGGCGCATCCGTAAGTGTGGCCCCAGCATCCCCCCCAGGGTTTACGTTGGGACCAGGCGGACTCTCAGCTGAGGGCTGGGTGATCTCGGGCCGTTATGTTCCCTGCATGTTAGTGACAGAAACGAGTCCTGGGCTGGCGTATCTAACTGATGTACAGTATTACATTAATGCTTACAGAATAGTGCTTTGTGTATCCGAAACGCAAATTAGTGTTAAAAATTGTGCGATGGTCATTATCCATCCATTTATTTTACTAACCACTTATTCTTGCTCAGAGTGACAGAGGGGACTGTAGCCTGGTCCAGGCAGCACAAGGCTGGGGTACACCCTGGCTGGGATGCGGGTCCGTCTCAGGGCACGGGGCACAATCACTCTCTGGTAAATTCAGAGACACCATTTAGCCTAACTGCTTGGTTTTGGACAACACTGGGAGAACGTGCTAACTCTACACACAGAGCACGAGTGGGATTCCAACCCCCAACTCTGGAGGTGTGAGCCCACCCTTTGATTATTAATTTCTTTATTTAGTAACTCTTTCTAGATAGCTGTGGCCAGTGGTTATGTAGCATACTTGGTGGAAGTTCTTCAGAACTGGATTTGTTCCTCTTCTGCTTCCCCGCTTTTTGCATGGGCAAACCATTGGCTTTGCATAAACACACACTCCTGCCTCTTCTAGTAAAAAGAGAAGGAAGCCAGCCTCCCGTGCGGCTGTGACCCCTGAGGACGCCAGCTGCATTACCACGGGGGTCAGAAGTGTATTTGCCGGCAGGCATGGAGGGGCTGTATAACAGGAACACCTAACAACACTTTGGCATCAAGGACCAGTTACGGAGTAGGGCCGCACTTTGCCTTGAACAGCTTCAGTCCATCTTGGAATCAGTCTTTGAAGAAATCAAATGATACTGCTGTTGGGCCAGACAAGATTCCAGTTCCTAAAACATCTACCTCATGTTGCGTTTTCTGTCTTCCTTAAGTACATGAGCTCTCTTTGGTTATCAAGAAATATTCCACCATACAGACCCAAATAACTACCACCAGATAACCTTGACTAGTTGCATGTGTAATATCACGGAAATGATGGTTATCTATCATCTTGTGTGGTCCTACTATCACTGTGATTTCCAGGGTGGTTTCAGACAAGGTAGGAGTACTTTTAGATTAGTCTTCTCAACCCAGTCCTTGGGGACTTCCAGAAAGCCCATGGAGCTGGAGGGAGCAGAAACGGGGACCATCTGGGGAGTCCCCTAGGGCTGGGTTGAGAAACGCTCTCGTCAGCTTGGATGCATATGTGTGATACTTTTATCAAAAGTAATACATGGTGTCAGATTTTATTTTATATATTTTTTTGTCTTGGAGAAGGCCTACGGTACGGCTTGGAAATATCGCACCTTAAAGACGTCAGTTTGGATCTGTGGTTCACTCAACTTGTATTTCGAATTACATATTTAACAAATTTTTGAGTCAGAGTACGAGATATGTATGTAAACCTGACAGGTTGTTAAGACTTACAGCTTCCCCTGGGGAGGTATTATATGTTACTGGTTCAAAGTCCGTGAATGAGCAAGGCCCTTAACCTGCAATTGCTTCGTCCTGGGTATGACGTTGATGTACATCCAGCCCTATAAGGAGGTCGTCCAACTTACAGGGAATAACTTGGCCGTTGGTGGCAGGATCGGCACTCCAGCCACCGGAAAAAGCCTCACATTTGGACTGGTGTGGTGCTGAGGTATCACCCACCACATGGCTGCACTCAGGTTCTCATCCCTGAGGTGGTTTGTCATGTGATGGGTGCAGCAATGCGCTGTAATCAGTGCGTGCTCCTTGCGCACTGTGTAATCGGTGCGCGCTCCTTGCGCACTGTGTAATCGGTGCGCGCTCCTTGCGCACTGTGTAATCGGTGCGCGCTCCTTGCGCACTGTGTAACTGGGACACTGCAGTCTAAGTAGATGAACATATTTGAACGGAAACTGCAGTTAATCCATAGTTGGACAGTAGTACATGGATTTAAGTTTTCCGAAATGAAAACTGTCTGTGCATTTTTGCCACTAAACATCTTTTTATGATGACCCAGACTTGTTCTGGATGGAAATTTCCATAAAAGAAGTGAAAGAGGCAAAGTTTCTCTCTCATGATTATGGGTTGTCTCTTGTATTCTGTACATGAGGATTTTGAGGAAATGTTCAAAATGTTTTGAATATTCTAGAAGTCTTGGTAAAAACATAATGGGGTTGAGAAAGGAACTTGTGCTTCTGCAGAACACTGATATGCTCTAAACTGGGTTATGGCAGTGTTTGGTTATGGATCAGCTGGACGATCTTATACAAAGCTGCTCATCACCAAGGTATGCGTCTCGTTATTGGGGCTCTCCGAACAGCCCCTTCTCAAAGTCTGTGTGAAAGCCGGCGAGTCCTCACCAGACAATGGCCTCCTGAAATTATCTCTGCGACATACAACGAAGCTCAATACCAGGAGATGCCATCCAGCCTACTCTGCAGTTTTCTGTAGCATCCCTACCTGGTAAGCTGTAGATAGCAAATGTCATCCTGAACCTATCAAACAAAAAGACTCGCCCAAACACTTATGAGCAATTTGTTGGATGTTTTGGGAAGTTTTCCATTCTGTGTCCCGGTATACACAGACATTTCAACGAGTCGTTTAAATACCTCTGTACTGCTACTCGAATACCAAAACGAAAGTTGTTTTTATGGCGAAACCTCCTTAATTTATACTCAAAATCCTGTTTACAAGCCCTTTCAGCATTAAAAGGCGATCATCCAGTGGTTGTAAAGATTATAACTAAACACTCTATCCTTGATAAATAAAATGTTAGAATTTGTTTTTGCTGGGTCTTAGATCACTGCGGTGTGTCCAGTAATGACCAAGCTAATATGGTCGCTCTGGGGGCTCTCCATTTAAACACACAGAAGTATTTAATACCCCCACCAGACCCCAGACCTGTGCTGAGTGAGTATGTAATGAAAATTGGCAAAATGAATGAGACAAAAACATAAATAACAAACATCGAAATTATCCCTGTTATAAACTGAGCATCAGTCAGTTTTAGAGACTGTTGGGACGACGTAATTTAAAGCAATTGTGGCATAGGACAGCGGGCTCACACGTTTTACTTACGGGTGAGGAATCCTCTCTGTCTCAGAGCCCTTTGTCAGTTAGGCATATTTTTATTTATTGTCATTCTTAACCCTATTGGGCAAATATATCTGCCACTCCATAAAAAAAAGCCTCCAGTTCATTGGGGTTATTGAAGGAGGTGGAGATCTACTTCACCATCTGCATTCTGGATCTTCCAGTAAAGGTTCAGTGATGATTGAATCTAGTGGCTGAGGAGGCCATGCAAGGCATTTGACTTAATCTTTGTGTGTGTTTACGTCATATGATGCACCTGGTCCTGTCAAATGTTCTCGTACCTCATTCGTTATACTGACATATAACGCTATACAGAGCCATCACTGAACCTAATGACTCCCATGATATATTAGTACGGATCCTTCACCGTGTTTAATGCTTGGCATCAGGCATTGAGGGCCGAAGGCATCCTTTGACTTTCTCTGAAAGTAAACCTGCCCCCACGCAGGAGATGGTGAAAGATGATTCATCAGATCATGGTTTCATTGGTTAGAGGTCCATATTATGTATTTGCGCTTTAGCCTTGGAAACAAGTGATTTCCAGGTCTGCTTTATATTCCAGCTGTGAAGCTTGTGGTGACCAGTTTTTGCTAAGACTAGATGGTGATTCGGTTCTGCGGCCATTTGTGAAGTAGTGCTGTTGTGATATTTAGCAACTATTCTGTTCAGTTCCCAGCTATCCCTGTCTTCCCCTTCACACACTTAAATAATTTAGCAACGCACAAGCAGTTCAGGCACAAGCTATCTGACGTTTTAGAAATCCGTTAGTTGCCTCATGATTCTTTGATAACGCGTATCAGAGTGCCGGTTTTTATAGCTGACGTGTTCTGGTAATTGTCATTCAGTCCAATATGGCTCTCCTTCGTAGTTGCGTTTTGTAATTGTGATTTAGTTTGTGGTCAGAGTCCTCCTTCCTGAGGTGTGTGTGTGCACGCACACCGGCAGATCCGTGCATGTATACGCCTCTGCCCGCATAAACACACTGGGAATAAACATGGCTGTATCAATAGATGAACAAATGGCCGACGTTCCTGTCTTCCAGCTTATCCTCTGACTCAGTTTGGGTGATCTTTTGCCCCACAGGTGGTTCTTTGGGAAGATCCCCCGGGCGAAGGCGGAGGAGATCCTCAACAAGCAGAGACACGACGGAGCCTTCCTCATCCGGGAGAGCGAGAGTGCGCCGGGGGATTTCTCCCTCTCCGTCAAGTAGGTGCCCCCGTGCGACGTCCCCAGGGCCCGGTGATACGCGGCGTGACCTGTTTACTGACGGTGGCCTGTTTCACAGCCCAGTTGGTCTGTAACAGTGGGGCCTTATAACGACGGTGTATAATGATGCTGAAACTGACTTTCTGATTGCCCTCTATAAAGTATGGTCTATGGACCGCGATAATTCACTTGGCTTGTGTGGAGAGCATGGCGTGAGAGCCTGTTAAGGACCTGAGCAACTTTGTGGTGCATTTTTTTTTTTTTTTTTTTTTTTTTTTTTTTTTTTAAATTACCAGCTAAGATGATAACCTACTTATAGTCACAGATCAGTAGGTTTTGCACATCCCATAGTCATTCAGGCAAATATGACCACAGATAACCCTCAGATGACGCTCGCGCTTTTCCATGATCTGCCTGAGAGCTTTTGTCCGAGTCGTATTTTTTCCCCCTCCTTTATGTGCACAATGCTGCCCCCTATTGTCCATTTTTCTAAATGTAGTCTTTCCCGGCCTCCCGTCCTCTACAGGTTTGGGAATGATGTTCAGCACTTCAAGGTTCTGCGTGATGGGGCAGGAAAATATTTCCTATGGGTGGTTAAGTTCAACTCGCTGAACCAGCTGGTAGAGTACCACCGATCTACCTCGGTGTCACGGAACCAGCAGATCTTCCTGAGGGACATCGAGCAGGTCCCCCAGGTGAGCCAGGTATGCGGGGGTCCTCCATACAACCAGTGAGCAGCGTATCTGTCTGGCTGTTGTTGAAGTACGACATCTGTAGGTCTTGCCACAGGTGCTTGGTCAGACCTAAGAGAGCCTGAGTGTGGATTGCTGAGTAAATCTGTTTGTAAGAACGGCTGCTGAATCCTGTCTTTGCCTCCCCCCCCCCCCCCATAGCAGCGTTCGTATGTCAAGGCGCTGTTTGACTTCGACCCCCAGGAAGAGGGTGAGCTGGGTTTCCGGCGTGGGGACTTCATCCAAGTGCTGGACAACTCCGACCCCAACTGGTGGAAGGGGGCGTGCCATGGGCTGACGGGCATGTTCCCCCGCAACTACGTCACACCTGTCAATCGGAACATGTGACCAGCACATGCCTCGCTCTGCCCTGCCCTCTATCCCGAAGCCCGCCATAACCCTCCCCCAACTCGCCAACCCCCACCCCCCCCTCCACCAGCCCATAAAGGCATCCAGACCATCGCTGAAGAATGTAGCAGCCCACCTCAAAGAGGGTGGGGGGGGTCATTCGGCAAACAATGCAGCGGATTTACATCACTGAGAACGTGTGGCATAACAGTGAAAGCTGCAGGCTGGATGGAAACTGGAGAAAATGGAACGGAAGGGAATGGGAAAGGAAGGGAATGGGGAAAAGAGGAGGAGGAGTGGGGGACCCGGAAGCAGCGGCTGAGTCATCCAGAGAGCACGTGTCACCTGCAGACTCCCCTGGCTGCCTCTGCCTCCCTCCCACTCACTCACGCTGCAGTTTGTTTCCATGCATTCTAATCCGATAAAATGTCAGTAATAATAAATATACATATTTCAGAATGGAAAGGTAAGGAGGGCTTGATGAAGTGGGAGGAGAGTCTCCAGTGTACAGACTAGATCCGCCTGGGCATCAACTCTGGGCTCTGTGAATAAAATCCATTTATATAAACAGTATATATAATTATAAATACACATTTGTACGTATGAGTATATATGTGTATTGATGGCCACACCAATGTTTGTGTTTCTTCCCTTTTTGTCGTAATCTATTCCCAAACCCCGTTCCTTCTCGATGTACTTTACTGTAACCTCTGTTGTCTATGGGCAAGGCCGTCCGGCTGATTTGGAAATCGCTCTGGATCCCGAAAGCGCCTTTACGGAAAGTGGCGGGGGCGCCTTTTTAAAGCAGGGACTATTTTCCGACTCATGGGGAAACCTGAAGCCTATCTCTATCTCTATCTCTATCTCTATCTCTATCTCTATCTCTATCTCTATCTCTATCTCTATCTCTATCTCTATCTCTATCTCTATCTCTATC